CAGATTTTGGGATTTTTATCAGAGAATTTGTGATTTTTTTATCAGAGAATTTTTTTTTTTTTTATCACGGATAACCAGGATCCCTGGTGATTAGGTGTCCCCTCACACACCCATGCTGGTTTGTATTCTCTCAGCCCACTCCCTCTCCAGGCTGTCTTCCCCCTGCCAGTACATCCACCCACAGGCAGGGGTTTACCTGTGCAGGTCTCTGACACTGCAGCTTCTCCCAGCTCTAGCAAACTTACCAGCTTTGCTTACCAGCCCTCTCCAGGGCTAGAGTTAGCTCCTCCCCAGCTTCTCTTCTTTTCCCTCCCTCAACTTTTTTACAGCTCAGTAGCAGCCAATCAGAGCCCCTGGTTTGCAATGTGGGTTCTGGACACAATTCAAACACTCCAGTAAACAGCATGCAATGTGCACTGCATATTCTTCTGTTTGGTAAAGCCTATGCACCCTTTGCAAAGTTGCCTCCCTTTTCTTGCAGAACTCTTAAGCACAGCTCGCCCACTCAGCTTGCAGCCAGGTGCACTTTGCAGCTGCTGCACACTAATTTTTACTAGTAACTGGGAAACTATATTCACCCTAAATATTTCAGAATTGGTAGATAAAAGTATGTAACATCAGTTATCCAGATCTTCTACCTAATCTGGTCTCTTCTTGGAAAATATTTCCAGCTTTTCAAGTGAGTGTCCTACCAGTAGGAAATAAGTAGAAAAATGGATTCCTAAAATAATGGCTTGACTAACTCAAAGTGTACACCCAGTTTGCAAACCAATAGACTGAAGCTCTGAATATTTAAAGCCAGTAATCAAGCATGAGTAGAATAGTTTCCTGGTGCCTTTATTTCCCTTCAAGTGGGTTGTTACCTAAATTAAGACACAAGACAGTTCCTTAGTGTATTTCTTCCAACTCTGTGCATTTGCAGTCTCACACTAATAGATCATTGTTTTTACCAGCCTCTTCCTGTCAGCCTGGATTACTTAAATGGGTAATTTATGTCACAACTATAACAGCTCCCAGGAAGTTTAGAATAACATTCAATTAACCATAATTTCATGTTCCACAAGACAAATAGATAGCATCCTCTGAACAGATTGTAGAAAACCTGTGTTCTTAATACTGAGTTTACCACAAAATTCAGAGACTAACAAAAAGGCAGGTTCCATTTGTAAATTACTACAATCCTAGCACTGTAACATTTTATTTAAAAAAAAATGCATTCTTCTCTAAAGGTTCAGTTTTGGCAATTTCATTTAATCTAATTGAGGAACTTTGTTTCTTTTCCTATACCTATGAGCCTTGAGACCTTTGCTCCAGTTGCTTTTAACTCTAAACATAAAAAGGGCAAACATCTCTGCTTTCTCTTGTGCCTGAGCAATAGCACCAAAGAACTCAACCCAGTCCTAAAGCCTGCTCTGCAGTCTGTTATCCAGAACAAGTGGGTTCTTTTGTTTCTTTTACTTTGCTTTAGTATGCTGCCTAAAAATGTAACATATCAATGCAGATGCTAGGTGAGTTCATGGCTGCCACAGATGCAATGGAACTTACTATATGTTTGTATTAATCATACGAACAACATACACTAATCATATCAAATATTAAAAAGCACTTTACATACATCATGAATGGAAAAAAACAGTTTAGCATCTTGCTGAACATTGTTGCTTATGGTAAAAGTTGAATAAAGCAGTTACACAAAGCATATCAACATACTGAGCATTTTTGTGCATTTTGTTTCCTGCTTCTGTTCTTGTACTGTTGACTTTTTTTAGCTCTCGACAGAAGTCTTTAGAGAGACCAACAGAGACAGCAATCCTTCTGAGCCTTGCTGGTGTGCGTTCCATCATGGCTAACCAGTGGTACGCTACCCTGGAAGGGAATGCAGAAAACCTGGAAACTTTATCTGAGAGTAGGTATTTGTGGCAGATATTTTCTATATCATTTGCACATAAGATTCTTTGATGCTTTATTTAAAATACAGTCATTCTTATGATTGTCTCTACAAGTGGGATAGCTGGGAGAGAAGCTTCAAGAATCTGCAGGCTAGTGGGTAGGGGTTGGACATTGTGAACCATGTACGTCAGGGGCAGGCAATTTGGGCGGAGGGCCGTTTACTGAGTTTTGGCAAGCCATCGAGGGCCACATGACAGGCAGCCAGGGGCAGATTAATATCAATTTTCTTAATTTTGGGGGGGCCCCCATGGGCTGGATAGAATGGCCTGGCAGGCCGCATCCAGCCTCCAGGCTGC